ACACAGACACGCACACACACCCACACCCACACACACGTATGTCCTGTCATCTCTGCCTCTCACTCATACACAGCATCTGTTCGGATTGTCAGGGCATCTGACTCTGCCGAAGTCCTCACATCTGACAGTCGAGCAGACTTCAACAGACTCATCAGAGCCATCGTCACAATCGGAAGACCCATCACAGAGGGAATTGCCTGCATAGATGCACTTCTTCGCATCCTTGCACTTCCAGTAACCCTGAGCACATTCCCAAGTCTTACAAACTTCTGCACCCTCATCAGTGCCATCTTTGCAGTTCGCACTTGCACTACACACATCGTCAACACCAATGCACTGCGGAGTCTTTTTACACTTCCACTGACCCGCAGGGCAGTTGTACATCTGGCAGAAGGTAGCACTCTCGCACTACCATCTGCACAGTCCACATCTCCATTACACAGTGCTCCACTGATACACTTCTTGTCATTTGTTGGGCACTTGAAGCGGGACGAGCCTGTTCCTTCAAGCGATGTGCAGTTGTAAGACTGGCAGAAACTGGCCTCCTCATCTGAACCGTCCTTGCAATGGTTCTTCCCATCGCACACCAACGGAGTTCCAATGCATTGAATGTCGTTCTTGCAGCGCCACGTTTCACTCAGGCACGTGTAGTTCTTGCAGAAGCTAGGGTCCTCATCAGCGCCATCTCTACAGTCATATATGCCATCGCAGTAAACACCTGGCCTGCATTTCCGGGGAGATGTGCACAGCACTTGTTCAGCATTGCACCCGGTAATGCTTGCACAAGCAGTGCGTGTCTCATCACTGGCATCCAGGCAGTCTCGTTTTCCATCGCAAAGCTTCTCTCTCAAGTCCATGCATCCCACCCCGCTCGGACACTTCACCCTTCCGCTGCTGCTGCAGTCAAAAGTCTTGCACAAGCTCGATTTCTCATCAGACCTGTCTCGACAATCATAACGGCCGTCGCACTGACTGGATGGGTTTATGCAGCTGCTGCCGTCCTTGCATCGGATCTCATTCTCATAGGTGCATGGGAGCTTCCCGCAGTTGGCAATTTGCTCATCCGAGCCATCTGCACAGTCCTTCCTGCCATCGCAAAATTGGGATCTGGAAAGACACGAGTACTGCAATGGCCCCGTCGGGCACTGGTACTGGCCGTTGCTGGCATTGCATGACTTCTCGTATTGGAAGCCAGCAAATTCGGAAGTTTCATCTGAGCCATCAGGGCAGTCCTGTCTCCCATCGCAGAACTTTGTTCTGGCAACACAGGTCTTATTGTCAGCACAGAGCCGCTGCTTCAGGTCCCGACACCCACATGTTTGGAGGCCTTCGTCGGATCCATCCGGGCAATCGCGCTTGCCGTCGCAGAATAGGTCTGCAGCACGGCAAGTCCGACCATCCTTGCACTTCCTGAATCCCTCCGGACAAGTTTTGGATTGGCAATTCTTTTCGTCCGAGCCATCTCGGCACTCCCTCGTTCCATTGCAAAAGGCTTCGTTGCGCACACATCGCCCTCCATCGCAGCGGAAGTAGGCCTTCCTTGCAAACTCTTCGTCTATGTCCAGAGTGGAGCAGAGACGGTTTTTGCAATACCACCCGGCTTCGTCACTTCCATCTTTGCAGTCCGGGATGCCATCACAGAACTTGAACACAGGGTCATCTGCTCTGTCATCTGTCTCCGTCCGCAAGCATTGCACCCCGTTTGGGCATTTCATAGCGTACGCGTCGTCCGCAGTGCAGTTGAAAGACTTGCAGTAGTCCTTTTTCTCATCGCTTCCATCTGGCAGAACCCACACACACACACACACACACACACACACACACACACACACACACACACACACACACACACACACACACAT